AGCAGGAGAAAGGAGGGGTTCTCGGGCCATCTTAAGGTGCTGGACTTGTAGGATCATGGGCTACGTCATTGGTTTATACATGTAATGGTGTACTGTATGAGTTAGGTGATGAGAGCTCGTATAACAAAGGGACCCAAAAATTCAATGACTCAAACAAGATAGTTTGGGTCTTGCTCATCTAACAGTCCACTTTGGGAATCCTGGTTTATCTCTATTCCAGGACAGCCAGTGGCAGTTCTTTTCACAACTTCCAAGGCTGCCAAAGTTGTAGCCATGCCACATGGCAAGGAAGGGGAAAAGAAATGAATCTAGGGCCAGAGATTTCTTCTTAAGCATGTGAATTAGAAGTTGCCCCCAACATCTCTGCTCACATTTCATCAGTGAGAGTAAAGTCTCGTAGCCACACTTTGCTTCTGAAAAGTGGGGAGGTTGGCCGGAGAGACACAGCCCCTGGAAATGCAGCCAAGATCCCCAGGACTATTCTAACACTGTGGAATGTAGGAGAATGGAGTTTGGGGACAGCTAGCACGCTCCACCACAGCTTTTGTCACTAGTCAACACCTTTATGGAAATACCTGACTCTCTTTCCCTCTCTTTTTGCTAAACAAAGTGCCCCCAGTTTATCACTAGATCAGTTGAATGTTTATTTCAAATTGCAATCAAGATATAACAATTAAGTATTTACTTTACATAATGAAAGTTACCATTGCCCTATTAGCATAATCTGTTTTGGGGGTTTATTGAAGCCATGTTAAAATATAAATAAATAGATTTTAATAGGCAATATATATATTTGATGTATTTCTGCTCTGCTTTAGGATAGTACTTAATTCTTTAAATGTAACTATTGGGGGCTGAGGTTGTGGCTCAAGGGGTAGAGCGCTCATCTAGCATGTGTGAGGCACTGGGTTCGATCCCCAGCACCACATAAAAATAAAATAAAGGTATTGTGTCCACCTACAACTAAAAATATATATAAAAAAAAGTAAATATCAGAAGCAAAATAGTAGTAAGCTAGTGAGATGATATCTAAAAGAAATATTGAAAAATTTACATTTCATTTATTAGATTCCTACCAACAATTTTTAGTGGTATATATTAAAAAATTTTTAAGTAATAAGAAAACACTTTGATACTGACTCATTAAATTACACTGTCGATTTTTCTTTTACAGCCATATGGTATTTTACTTTTTCTTATAATAATTCTCTTCTTCCCTTTTCCATATATTTTTATTTATACTTTTCTAATGAATTCTAGAATTATTTTTAAATATAAGATGGCTTTGTAAAAATACCTACGTATTGTGTAAGATAATCATAATTATTTTTTTCCCACTACCTTCTGATCAAATAAAGCCAATAGAGATGTAATTGTTGCCAAAGAAACAAAAGACACCCCAATTATTTCTGGGCTGGGATGGCTGATGGCTTGCCATTGCTAAAAAGCAAATGAGATACAGCCAAGAAACTGTGCTGTTTTGCTTAGTTGGAAGGCAAGTTAGGGATACATACACATGGTTCCAGATGACCTTCAAAGAGGACACAATGTCAGCATCCTGCCAGTTCACACACAAGGGAATAAAATCCATAATGACAGTTAAAATCTTTCTTCTCCTAGTAAACTATGTCACCCCAGTTATAAACACTAACACTAGCACAGGAAATATCTGACCCTTTTGCCCCTGGTTAAGAGTTATTGCCTGTTCCTACTTGGCTAATTGTTTGAGTTTCTGAAAAAACAAGGAATATTTCAGAAACCTCATTATGAGAAGAGAGATTTGCAATTTACAGGTAAATGAAGCAAGCATTGTACATGCCCAGATGTGTCCAGGCCCCTGTTATATGAGCCCTGGCAAGTTAAACAGACTGTGTCTTGTCCTCTGCAGCAGCTAGGAATGCCCCCAGCTCACCAGAATGCTTGGAGGCCCCAGCACTGGCTCCTGGGAAAGGTTTGAGACGAAACATGAAATTTGCTCTCTAACCCGCAATGTTATCTTTGCAGTAGTTAACAAGATAAAGTAAATAAACCTAAACTCTCCATGAACTTATATCTTGGTTTTTTTAATTGAATTCTCTGGCACACTGCACCAGGTGATGGGGATATAAGGATGTATAAGGTACAGTCCAGAGAGGGAAACAGCTATATAGACATGACGTCAGTATCTGGAGAATGGCCAAGGCAGATCTCAGAGAAGCAAACATACCTACCTGGAGATCAGAAAGGCTCACAGCCAGGGATGCTGGAGTTCAGGTGACAAGGGAAGAAGGGAATTCCTCCTGCTTGAGTTTAATCCGGAAAACAATACACAGTGACTTGTACGATAATCTTTTTTTTTTTTTTTGCAGTTTCATTGAAAAAAGCTAAATAAAAGTCAAAATGGCACTGGGCACAATGGTACCCTGTCTCTAATGCTACCTTTTATTGAACTGGATTATTCAAGCGGGTACTAAGACACCCAGTTGGCCCTGTATCCATGGACTCTGCATCCACAGATTCAACAAACTACAGATTGAAAATATTCCAAAGAATAATTGTGTCTGTACTAAACATGTTCAGACATCTTTCCTTGTCATTATTCCCTAAGCAAAATGGCATGACTGCTATTTATATAGCATTAAGTATCGTAAGTACATTGTTTCTTGTTTGGTTTTGTTACAGTGCTAGGGATCAAACCCAGGGCCTTGTGCATGGTAGGCAAGCACTCTACCACACTCCAGTCCACAAGGTATTATAAATAAATAATCCAGAGATCACTCACACTCACACACATATACACACAAACACACACACACACGCGAGCACGCAAATATATATGTATATATACACACACAATTAGGTTGTTTGGGCTGCCATAATAAAATATCATAGACTGGGTGGCTTAAGCAACAGAAATTTATTTTCTCCTTAGTTCTGGAGGCTGGAATTCCAGATCAAAGTGCTGGAGGGTTGGCTCTCTCTTTGACTTGCAGATGGCCACCCTCTAGCTACTTCTTCACCTGGTCCTACATCTGTGAGCACAGGCCCCTGGTGTCTCTATGTATCTTAACCTCCTCTTTTTATGACACCGGTCTGTTTAGAATAGGGCTGACCTTTAGCCTCATTTGAACTTAATTACCTCTTTAAAGGACCTGTCCCCTAAAAGAGTCACATTCCTAGGACCTGGATATTAGGGCTTCAATCTGCGAATTTTGGGGACACACAATTCAGTTTAAAATGCATGTGTATGCCTATATCTATTTAACTATGTCGTTTGACGTCAATAACCCTGTAAGGAACTCAGAAAGGCTTAAAAATTAGCCCACTTAATAAGTGTCAGAAAATGTAAACTCAGGACTGTCCAACTGAAAAGCCCATGTTTTTAACTCCTATTTTATACTTAGAAGAGAGAGAAAAACAAGTAGCAGATATGAAAACTCTCCTGTTACCTGGTACCTTTTTGCACACAGTCATGCCATTAAGTTAGTCCAACATTTACTGTGTGCTTATAATGTGTCTCAGGTGACAGTCGAAGTTGTAACTCTCCCATGAGAGAACTGCAGAATTAAACTGGGAATAAATTTTCATATGTGCAAGAATTGCATGGTTCTCCCAAACAGGAGATCTATGGGGGGAAAAATACAGGATATTGTCAAGTTCAGAGATCTTTAGAGCTAAGATCATCATGTAAAATCCAATCAAAATATGTGGGCTTGTCAACACTGTAAGGAAAAGAAGATTTGGTAATGACTGACTTGAATCAAAGCATGTGGAATTCTGTGACCACCTTCTTTAAGTTATGGAGTCACTGGCATAGCAACTAGGAAAGGCTCTGGGTATTTCTACCATATTGTAGACATGGATTTTGTTGCATCCAAAAAAAAAAAAAAATTATCCTGGGAATCAAAAACTTAATAGTTATTGTTCTTTAGAGAGTAAACATGTTTTGCCTCGGGTGGATTTAGAATTTAGTATAGAAATGTCCATAAAATGAAACTTGTACTGCTAATAGATTATTATTATTATTATTACTATTAATTAATATGTAACATCAGCACATTTTTATGGGATACAGTGTAATATTTCAACACATATACAGTACTGATAAAATCAGGGGCAATTAACATTTCCATTTCTTTATCATTTCTTAATTGGGGTTTGAGTTCCACACTCCTAATATCTTGGTTTTAAGGAATCTATACCTATTAAAAACATAGCATTCATAATATTTGTCATGGACCAAATGTTTGTATCCCCCTGAAAATTAATTATTTTGAAATCTATCTAGGGTAGGCTGGGACTATGCTCAGTAGTAGAACACCTGCCTCACATACATGAGGCCCTGGGTTTGATCCCCAGCACTGCAAAAAAAAAAAAAAATGAAAAAAGAAAGAAAGATCTAATCCCTGATGTGATGGTACTTGAGAACAGGATTTTCAGAAGGCGATTAGGTCATGAAGATGAGTCATCATGAACAGAATCACACCCTTACAAGAGATGTGACATCTCCCTGCTACGCCTGCCATGGGAAGATACATAAGAAGTCAACCATCTATCACCAAAACCAGGGTCCTCGTAAGAACTTGATCATCCTACCACCCTGACCTCAGAACTCCAGCCTCTAGAATCATCATAAATAAATTTCTATTTGATATACCACCTAGCTTATGGTATTTTGTTTTAGAAACCCAATCTAAACAAATATTTTAAAGTATTTGGCCTTTTAGAGTTATTTATGAATTCTATAATTCCTATTTAGCATATGTAATTGAGAAATTTACACTGATGATTTTAATTTGGAAGTTTACTGTTTCTATATAATATTGATATTTAGACTTCAGACTGGCCATAAGGGGCTCAGACTGTGACTCAGTGGTAGAGCACTCACCTGGGTTTGATCCTCAGCACTACATAAAGATAAATAAATAAAGGTTCTTGTGTCCATTTACAACTAAAAAATATTTTTAAAAAAAGAAAGAAAAACAGAAAAGACTGGCCATGAAATAAGGCAGGCACGAAAGGACAAGTACAACATGTTCTTATTTATTTGTGGAAGCTAAAAGTCTCAGTCACATAGAAGTAGACAGTAGAATAGAGGTCACTAGAAGTTGGGAAGAGTAGGGATGGAGGGGACAGGGAAAGGTTGGATGAAAGGTACTAAAATACGGATAGATGAGGGAATTAATTCTATTGTAGAGTAACTTAGTCTATAACAATTCATTATACATTTCTAAATATTTAGGGAAGAATTGGAAGTTTCCCAGCAACAAAAATGGCAATCAATGTTCAAGGAGCTAGAAATGCCAATTACTCTAATTTGATTATTAGACATTATAAAGATGTATTGAACCATAACACTGTACCCCATAAAAAAATTCAAATATTTTGTCATTTGAAAAGAATTATAATTAATTTAAAAATAATTAAGGCCAGCCATATAATCATGTTTAATGATCAGATTTGTAAGAATTAAACATTTAGGAAGATTTTACAATCAGGCATATGAAATACAACATATTTAATGGTTATAATTTCAGGTTCAAATATGTAAATGTTTACACTTGTAAATAGGACCAAATATTACTCAAAGGACCCCTTAAAATGTTGACATTTGTAGGCTGGGAATGTGGCTCATTGGTGGAGCACTTGCCTAGCACATGTGAGGCCCTGGGTTCAATCCTCAGCACCACATAAAAATTAAATAAAATAAAGGTATTGTGTCCAACTAAACTAAAAAAAAAATTTTAATGTTGACATTTGCTAGATTTATTCATAGAACAATAATATTTCTAAATTGACCTTAAAATGAATCACTTGATTTTTTTTTCTTTTTCTTGTTTATGTCCTGGGAACCAAACCCAGGTCCTGTGTATGCGAGGCAAGCACTCCACCACTGAGCTCCACCTTGTAATTCCCCTTGAGGTTTTTTTAATATGGAATAAAAATAAACGGTAATTTTTAAAACAAAGGAAATTCCCAAATGAACTATTCTCTGGTTCAAACTACCTTCAAGGACACCAAAACTCTTATTTACCAGCCACTGTACCAGGCACAGGGATACAATGATGAGACAGAAATTCCTACCATCTGGTAGGGAAAAGCAGAAGCAGTTATATGATTGTTACTGTAACAGAGATTTGTGCAGGGTAAGGATGGAACCTAAGAAAAGTGGCACCTAAATGGGAAGCCAGGGAAAAGCTTTACAGAGGAAGGACTGGGAATGAGTAGCAATTCTCCTGGCAGATTGAACAGGGAACGGGTGCATTTCCAGCAGAGGCAAAGAACTATGAGAGCCACAGAGACAAGTAGGTCAGCATTCCTGAGTCAAAAACTTAGGGGGAAACAGGTACAGGGAGGTAAGATAAGTAGGCAAGGACCAGATCATAAAGGGGTATGAGTCCCAGGGAAAGACATTCCCATTGCAACCTGTCTGCAATGGTGAGACATTGAAGAATTTTCATCAGACTTGATCCAATTTGCCTGTAGAGCTCCCACTGTGAAAAAAAAAAAAAAAGTGAACTGAATAAAGAAATGATTGGAGTCCAAGTAGAAGATTTTGGAAAATGGGAGGGAAAATGAGTGCAGAAAAAAAAATAATAATAAGATCAAGCTAAGGGCAAAATTAGTACCTAAAGCGCATTTTCATGGGCCATGTATATTTTGTTAGCGGTATACTGCAAAATTTATCAAATGGAACTGCAGGAAGAAAAGAGGGAGGAAGAAGGGGGAAAAGAAGAAGGCAGGAAGGAAAACTGAGTTGGAAATTAAAATAAGAGATTTAGGCTAGAAATGTGTTTTAGGCATCGAGAGCAAATAGATGGTAATTTGTGAAATCTAGGGATATTTGTCAGCATCACATCACTATATGAAATACCTGACACAGGCTACTTACAAAAGAGGAGAGATGTATCTGGGCTCATGGTTCTGGAGATCCAAATCCAATGGATAGACCCATTGGTTTGGACCTCTTATGTGGGTGGTACATCATGACAGAAGTGAGTTTCAGAGCAAGTGCTCACATCTTAAGCCAGAAATCAGAGAGAGGAGGACAAGATCCCATAATTCCTTTCAAGTGCCTCCAATGACCTAAGGACCTCCCATAAAGCCCCTCCTCTTGGAAGTCCACAGCCCCCCCACACACCCCAGCTCCTCCCTGGGAACCAAGGTTTTAACACATGGACATCGGAGGGACACTATCCATATTCAAACCATAGCAATGGGAATAACAGATATTCCAAAGAGTATGTAGATGATAGGAAAGAGAATAAGGCTAAGGATAAAATCAGGGAAAAATCAACATTGGAGATATAAGGAGTAGGGGAAGAAAAGGTCAAAATTCACCCCCACAAGTAGGAGGTCATCCACAGCAAGAGACATCAGGGCATCAAGGAGAGGATTTCAGAAGGTGGAAGAAAGTGAGCTCAGATGTTAGAGAGAAGGCCCAGAAGATAAATACTAGTATTGTAAGGATTCATCCAGCAAAGTGTGTAAAGAACATCCTCCTTTAACTTTATAACATTTCTATAAAATAATAAAGAGAAAGGGGCTAACTCTAGTTTCAAATCACCTTCTTCTACTCTCATAATAGGCATCAGATCCATTAAACTTCTCGACCAACAGCCTTCTGTTAAGTGACCCCCAATTACCACCTTTACTTTTAAGCAACTTGACCCTCCTTGCCTTCTGCACCTTAGCCCTCTGAGGGGTTTCCTTCTCCAGGTCTCTCTCCCATCTTTCTGCCCTTTCTTCTCCCTCTCACCCGCTCCCTGCAAGCATTTCTCAGGGCTCAGTGTTCAGCCTTCTGTTGGTCTTATTTCTAGAATAATTCTGCTGGGCTGATTTAATTTCCTTCTTCAGCTATAATTTCTTGGCTGATATTTCCTAGAATCATAAAATGTTGCTATTGTCGCTGTTCAATACATCATCACAGAGAAAGAACCACTAGATGTATATGTCCTGCATTCAGAATCCCAGATACAAAGTGCTGCACATAGCTCATCCATTATTCCCCTATTCTCTTTTTCTATTATTATTTTGAAGTAGCTCTAGGCAGCTTGGTGCTTCCTAGCTTCTGGGACCATTGGCAGGAATAATAATGACTTATCCAACTGCAGCAACAAATCCAACCATACAACCACTATTTCTGCAAGTGAGTTGAAAATTATATATAGTCCTGCCTGCTAGAGTTCACCCCTGAGAATATACTCAACCCACCAAGAATCCACACTGTTCTCACTGCCTACACGGGTGGGGTTACACAGCATTAGCCTCTTCTTTCCATAAGTAGCCCTATAATTTTATCATATTTCATCAATTTGAAAGTTTACATTTTATATTATAATGTCCCAGAAATTGAGATACACCTTTTCATTATAATTGGAATATAAAATAATGATATGTCTTACAATCTATGGTGTCATAGATTTGATGAAATTTGGGTATTTGAAGAATAAGATGCAAAAGCAAATTAGTTTAACCTATTGTACAACACAGTGGCTGTCGTTAATAACTATGTATTTTATTTTTAAAATCACAGAGAGGAGATTTTAAGTATTCTCACCACAAAATAACAATAAATAATGGAATAATACATATATTAATTAGCTCAATTGAGCCATTCCACAACATATATGTATTTCAAATAGCATGTGGCTCACAATAATGATCTATAATTTTTGTGTGTTTTAAAACTAAATTTTTTCTATAGAAGACAATACGTATGGTGAGTAAAAGGAGATTTAGAACTTAGATGACCAGGTTTAAATTTCAGCTCTTATACTTATTCGCTCTAATAACTAGGAAAAAGTCTTGATTTTTCTAGGTCTCCATTTTCTAACCTGAGAAACTGGACTAAAGGACTAGGCACAGCCGCCCCCTGGAATCCTGCAAGGTCTAGCCTTGTATGATGAGCTCAGCTTAGTGCCTGGCCCCTGTTTTTTTCAAAAGGACAAGCTGTAAGAGACATAGGAATAATATTGAATTCTTATTTGGACTGAACTAGGGAAATTCTTTCATCATTATAATCAAGAAGAGAAAAAACAAACAGCTTGTAACTCAGATTCTGAATAGTCCTAAAACTGGCTGAGCAAATTCTCATGCTTATAAATCATAAGCAAAATTTCCAAAGATGATAAACCAATACGGTCCTGCTTTCCATATCTCACATCACTAAAAGATGTGCAAGCACATGTTGCAGATTAGACCCAACAGAATATCCCTCTTCCCTCTGCAAGACCATGCATCCAACTCCTACAGCTAAGTTGACCAGAGTCAGTCCAAATTGAGATATTGACCAAAATGTTTGGTGTTTCTTTCAAGGGAAAAGTTATAAACTTCCAAACAGTATGGTCAGATTTTGGTAAATATACATATATTCATTAAAAAAAGAACTGAAAAGATACATACATACTAAGTTGCTAACTGGATAGTGATATTCTAAAACTTTTATTTCCTCTTTTTCACTTTTAATTTGTCAATAATAGAAATGAATTGCTTTTGTTGGGGAAAAAAATAATCTTTCAATTTTATAAAATAAAAAGGTGCAGGTATGCTGACACATTCCTGTAACCCCAGCATCTCAGGAAGCTAAAGCAGGAGGATTGCAAGTTCAAAGCCAGCCTCAGCAATTTAGTGAGACCCTGTCTCAAAAAAAAAAAAAAATTGAAAGGACTGGAGATGTAACCGAATGGTAAAGCACCCCTGAGTTCAATCCCCAGTAGAAAAAAAAAAGAAAGGACTGGGGGTGTAGTGCAATGATAGAGCACCTGCCTCGCATGCGCAAGTTCCTGGATTTGATCCCCCCACTGAAAAAAAAAAAAGACTTATTTTCAACAGGATTTAGGAGACATTGTTTTTTAGTCAATGTTTAATTCTTGTGAATTTAAACACACTTAGGAGACATTAATTCAGCTTTTCTAACGAAGATTATTAATTGATTCCCCATGGACTACTGCAGGGTAGACATACAGGGGTGACATGTACATACCAATAGGTTCACTATAACAAGTAAAAGTACAACAGAACTTTCTAAGCAGGCCTAAGTGAGTCCAAGGTTGAAGGGACAAAGCAATCAGCTTACAAGGACACAGCTGGGATAACTATTTTCTTTTGGAGTGTTTAGGAGAGAATTGTTTTTTGTTTGTTTTATGGTACTAGGCTTGAACCCAGGTCCTTACATGTCCTAGGCAAGGACTATATCACTGAGCTACAATCCCAAGAGAAGAACTGCTGTTAAAACTTATTTAGCAATGCAAATCGAACCCAGGGACATTTTACCATTGAGCCACATCCGCAGTCTCCTGTTATTTTTCATTTTGAAACAGGGTCTTGTTAAATTGCCCAGGCTGGCCTCGAACTTAGGATCCTCCTGCCCCAGTTTGAGTAGATGGGATTACACCATGTATGGTCCCTTAGCTTGCTTGGGTATTAATTTATGTATAAACTAAACTGCTATAACAAATACAGAAGTTTATTGTCTCTTGTGTCATTCCCAGAGGCAACTGCAAGGTGATCCAGTGTGTGAAAGCAGCTTTTTCCAGGAGGTCATCCATCAATCTTGTGGTTCTGCCTCCTGGTGGGGTGTCACCATCACATCTGCATCCCAAAGGAGGGGAAAAGGAGAAGAAGCAAAAAAAAAAAAAAAAAAAAAAGAAAGCAACTTGTCTTTAAGAAAATAATGTAGAGGGCTCAGTAGTATAGCAGAGGCAGTAAACTCTGGGTTCCATCCTCAGCACTTAACGTAATCTGGAAGTTGCATACCACCCTGGACTCACAACCCAGGAGTGAGAACTTAGTCACATAACCCCTCCTGCTCCAAAAGAGCTGCACACTACAGCCAGTATCTGAGAACTCCAGTCTCACCTGTTAAACCTCAGTGGGTGGGTGGGGGGTGGTTACACAACTGTAAAATAAAGAGAGGTAGGCCGCTAGACCTGAGATGCAGTTTCTGCAACAAAGGGCAATTAATGGAATATTTCTAAATTAAATATTTATATTGCTTTCTGTCCATCTTTTATTATTTATTTTTTAACTTTTCCCCTCTTTACTGTGGAGATTGAACCCAGAGCTTCACAAAGTTGGGCAACTGCTCCATCACTGAGCCACATCCCCAGCCCTTTTATTGTATTTTATTTAAAAACTAGGTCTCACTGAGTTGCTTAGGGCCTCGCTAAGTTGCTGAGGTTGGCTTTGAACTTGCATCCTCCTGCCTCAGACTCCGAGCTCCTGGGAATACAAGCGGGTGCCACCGCGCCTGGTATATTTTAAAATAGAGTCTCTCCACTTCAACACTTTTGCCTTTCCTTTCCCAGTATCCTGGATTATAGGTGTTCATCACCTATAATGTCCACTTGTCCCCTCACTTCAAATATGATTGACAAACACTTCAGATGCACCAACCAAATAGTACCAGCAGCCAACCAGAAGCTGGAAGAACCAAAAACACAATTTTACCCTAGATTCCCCAAGAAAGAACAGCCTGGCCAATACCTTGATT